GGAGCTCAGCGTGTAGATGAAGAGCTGCGGCAGACACCTAAGTATAGAAACGTGTATGGGATAAGGCTGGGAAGGGTGTGGACAGAAGGAAGGCCTGGCCAGGCCCTTTTCTGTACTTTATTTACAGACAGGGTCTCACTGAGTTGCTTGGGGTCTCACTAAGTTGCTGAGGCTGGCTTTGAACTCTCAATCCTCCTGCCTCAGCCTCCCAAGCCTCTGGGATGACAGGCGTGTGCCACYGCACCTGGCATGCCTGGGTTCCTTCTGTGGCTGCTTGCCTATGTGCTCCAAGAAGGCCAGACATGTGGTTTGGTTCATGGCCTCATCTCCAATGCCTTGATGCACATCCTACTCCAGAAATACGGGCGGAACTAGAGCTAGGGATATGACCTAGGAGACAGCCAGTCCACTTCCTTGGCTTCCATCTGTTCATCTGCCAAATAAACCTGAAATACAAGCCTTGCCTTATAAACTCATTGAGACAGAYGATTAGTCACACGTGGAGAGCCTCCCAGGTACAAGGGCACCAGGGATCAGGCAGTGCCTGGTGCCGATGCCCAGATCAGAGCGCGTGGGCACTCACAGTTGTTTCCCCGGGTTGAGCGAGCCAAGGTCCAGCTCCCTGTCAAACTCGGTGCGGATGTCCTCCAAGGCCCCATCGTCCCCGAAGGCCCCCCACTCTGTGTTGATGCACATCCTCCCCTCGTCGCCTTCCACAAGGTCAATGTTGCTCATGTCCTCCATGTAACATGCGTTGGTGCCAGTTCCTGGAAAAGGGATCAGAGAGAATATGCAAAGAGGAAAGGGCGCCCGGCTGGGGCAGGACATGGAGAACCCAGCTGCCTGGAGTCCTGAAGAATGCACACAAAGTGCTTTTGATCCACTCCCCAGGGCTAATGCTGGCAGAGGAGAGCAGCTTTGGCAAGCCTCAAGCTCATGAGGAATAGAGCTGACATGCCGAGCCCGTGCTTCTCAGTGTGTTAATGGATGGCGGTTATGAATGGAGTCAATTATGAAGCCGTCCCTCATGAATATGCATGAAGGCTGACAAAGCGCACTTAGAAGAGAAGGCTGAGTTAAGCTAATCTTGTAAATATTGGGGGAGAAGCCCACTCACCCAACCCAGAGCAAGCTGCTCTGTAAGCTACTGACATTCCTTTTTATTTGACACTAAAAATACTCTACTTACCCCCTGCTATAAGTGGCTCTAGCATACGCACTATCTTATCTGTGACAGTGATTAACTAGCACCTAAGAAAGTAACGATTCATATCCAAATACAAGATCACTACAGGAAAGTCCCTCAAATACTTCAGTATTGGAGAACCCTGCAAGGGGAGTCTTTTTGGAGTCTTTTAGGTTGATGGAAATGTTCTAAAATTACAAAGGACATTGATGAAGCTCTGTGAGTTTACGAAAAGCCATTCAACTGCACACCTGTAGCATGAGAATTGATATGCCTCAGACAAGCTGCTTTAGATGCCTTTAAAATATTTTTTTCTATTTCTCTGATATGCTGGACTGAGTATCTGAAATGCCAACATGAAAAAAATGGGAAATGTAAGAAAGCAGAACGTGGCCAGGYTCAGTGGCGCATGCCTTAATCCCAGCGGCTTGGGAGGCTGAGGCAGGAGGATCACGAGTTCAAAGCCAGCCTCAGCAAAAGCCAGGCCCTAAGCAACTCCGTGAGAGCCTGTCCACAGGACAGCAGCTGGATGTCATGGGTGGAGGCCACCTCATTCTGAGGTGTGGGGCTCCTGGAAATGGAAAGGCACAGGAAGCTGCTCAGGTTTAAAGACCTGGCCCTTCCAGACAGTCAGGTCGAGGAGGTGCTTTTGGAGATTAAGACAGATCCATTCAGAAAACTCTCCCAGTCGTGGTAGAGAGATGGGAAGGGGAGAAGCGGCTCTTCAAGAACAACCTAGAGACCAGTCCCTCCTGCCTTCTCATGGGCCCTCCTGCAGAGCCCCTCCCACCTGCTGGACATCTCTGGGGCTTCTGACGTCCCCTGACAGCACAGCCTCTTGATTGATCACCCTTGTCCCCAGGAATTGATTCTCCATGCAGCAGCCAAGGAAAGCTTTTTAAAATACTTTTCCACTTATCCAACCCCCACTCAAAGTCCTCCAGGGCTTCTCATCCCCCTTGGGTAGAAGCTGGTGGCCTTTCCCCCTCCCCCCAGCCCCACCAGCCTTCTCCTGCTTGATGCAGCACCCTCAGCCTCTGAGCTTCCTCGAGCAGCCTGGACTCATTCCCATCTCTGAGGTCAGAGGCTCCTCCCTGCCAGGGACACCTCTCCCTCTGCCTCCACCCTGCCCTGTCGTCCTCCTCTCCTCCTCACCCCTCACTCTGTCGTGGCAGCCTGTGTTAATGTCTTCGTCATGCTCACCACCACCAGAAATTACCTGGTGAGTGTCCATCTCCCTGACCTTCCCCACCTCCCCTCTGCAAGCTCCAGAAGAGCACAGGAGCCGGCTGCGGCTGCGAGCCCAGGGCCCAGCCCAGGGCCCACATACCACAGCCGGCAGGAAACACTTGTGAATGAATGAGTCAATTTCCCACCTCCCTAAGTCGCTTCTCCTAAATGGACAGGGTCAGCCCCCCACCATTTACTCAGGTTTTGCTGAAACTAAGCTCCAAACAAGCCCCTTTCTCCCACCTCCGAAAAATAAGTTCAAATGAGTTACCAATGATCACACCGACTTCACAGTAGGGATCATCGTAGGCACATGTCATCATGGTCCCCACGGTGTCATTGACCAAGGCCAGGATATCCACATCCAGGTCCTGTTGAACACAAGGCCCCGAGAGCATCAGTGGGTGGGAAGGAGGTAGGACCCTTCCCCTTCCCTAGGAAAGCAGTTAGTTGAGACATCACTAGATTCCGCCTGCTGGCCTGCGGGGAGAAGTGGGGTGTATGAAGGCCAGGGGCCRGGAGAGGGAGAGGGGACCTGTGCTCCTCCTCTGAGGGTGAAGGCCTCTGTGCAGAGGGAATATGAAGCCAGCCCATCAGGAGGGACAGCCATCAGGAGGGCTGTTCCCACACCCTTGTGTGAGGAAGCCTGAGAGCGCACAGAGGAAAGCACACCCATGCTGGGCGCAAAGGTGTCTCTAGGGAAGAAAGCCAAAGTCTCGCCACAGGAACCTGGTCCCTAGCAAGCCCCCCTCCAGGGGTCAAGCCATGGTTTCCTGTTCTGCCAAGTCAACTTGGGTCATTGCACAGGGTTCCCCAGGGTTGGAGGAACATTTTTAAATAAACTGAAAATGTTAAGAGAAAAATGAAGGCTACCAAGGAATAGAAGCCCAGCCTTAAAGAGGAAAAAGACCAGAAGACTGCACAGCACAACAGCCCTCTGCTCTGGGGACGCAGCTCGGTGGCAGAGCACTCAGCTAGCACTGGAGAGGCCCTGGTGCAATCCCTGGCACAGCAAAAATACACACACACACACACACACACACACACACACATTCACACCCAGACCCACATATGTGTGTACTCTTTCCTTCGAGGTAACAAGCAGTTGGGATTTATTTGTGCTGCACTTTCCAGCTCATCAAGGAGCAAGCCATCTGTGGAGCCTGAGAGAGGAGGGGTTTAACTAAGTCCCCCGAAGGGCTGCGGCCAGTGGGGGACTCAGGGAAGTGCAGGGAGGTGCTGGGCTGCCTTTCAACAGTGATGGGAGCCACCCCACATACAAAGGGTCCCCAGTGGGTTGATCCAAAATGGCCACATCTGTGCTACAGTGGGATGTCCCTGAAGAAGTTCCTTCTCTGATTCTCCTTCCGGGCAGGCACAGTACAAGACCCCCAAGAGAAAGGGGCTGGGACTGGGAGAGGTCCTCATGTCAAAGTCAATACCTCACCTTGTGTTTTTTCATGGCTCTGGTCAGGCGGCTCACTACGTCCGTGTCCTGAACRCCCCGTGCCTTGAACTTCTTGGTCCATGAAAGCAGGACACCCTGTGGGGAGACATCAGATCCAGTCCCAACGGAGCAGCAGAAACATCAAGTGCACAGAACACCCCCTACGGGCTTCTCTTCTCTAGGCTGAAGCACCCCCAATATTTTCTCTCATTTTGTTTCCAATTGATGCATAAAAACTATTCAGATCACGGGGTACGGTTTGAATGCATGTATCTAATGTGTAATTATCAATCAGGAAAATTAACAAATCCATCACCTCAAACATTGAGCACTTCTTTGTGGTTAGAATATTCAGTCTTGTAGTCCTTTTGAAATGTATAATATAATTTCATCCACTATATTTGCCCTACTGTGCAATAGTATGTGCAATAGAACACCAGAATTTATTTCTCCTWTTTGGCTGGGAATTTGTACCCACTGGCCCTTCTCTCCTCAGCCTTCCCTCCTTTTAACCCTTCCCAGCTGATGGAAACCACCATCCTACTTTCTACTTCCACAAGATCAACTTTTGCAGATTCCAAAAAAATGAGTGAGATCGTGTGGTATTTGTCCTTCTGTGCCTGGCTTATTTCACTGAACATCCTTCAGCTTCATCCACTTTGCTGTACATTATAGGATTTCATCCTTTCTTGGCTGAACTGTATCGTATTGTGCACAGGGGACACACTTTATCCATTCATCTGTTGGTGGACATTGCAGTTGAGTCCATAGCTTGGCTATTGAGGACAGATCCTTCTAATATCACTTCAGAGTACTTTTTTAGTATTTATTYCTCTCATTTGAGTAGACTGAGACTTGATATATAGTAACAGAGCAATTACAGAAGAGTTAGAACTGGGTGTGGTGGGGCATGCCTGTAATCCCAATGGCTCAGGAGGCTGAGGCAGGAGAATCGAGAGTTCAAAGCCAGCCTCAGCAATTTAGCAAGTGAGACCCTATCGCTAAATAAAATACAAAAAAAGGGCTGAGGATGTGGCTCAGTGGTTAAGTGCCCCTGAGTTCAATCACTGGTACCAAAAAAAAAAACCAAAAAAAAACAGAACACTTGGATTCCTGAGACATTGAAGCCTTCGTTTATTCAACTGTATAACTGGAATATCTCTTTCCTATGGAGGATGTGAAGAAATAGCACTTCTCTCTCTCTCTCTCTCTCTCTCTCTCTCTCTCTCTCTCTCTCTCTCAGGCATGCTCTGATGAAAATATCTGGCATACGGTATCTACATGTTGTACGATTTGCAGGTCCCCAAAACAAAAACTGGCAAGGTATTACCTTGTAGGACTCCCTCAAAAACTTAATTCCACTTGGAAAAATAGTTCTCAAGTTGTATCAATCTTTTTTCTTTTTTCTTTTTTTGGACCCAGGGCACTTTACTACTGAGCTACATTCCCAGCCCTTTCAATTTTATCTTGAAACTAGTTTCACGAGGTTGCCCAGGCTGGCTTCCAAATTTCAATCCTCCTGCCTCAGCTTCCCCAGATGCTGGGATTATAGGAATAAGTTACAACACCTGATTATCAATAATTTCTTTACAAATGATGTTTCCCAGGTGTTTCATGTCTGAAATCACAAATAATCATATAATTTTTCAGACTAGAAGAGAACCTGGAGGTTGAAAGAATCTCCCAAGTCCACCCAGTCAAGAGTGACTAAGCTCATAAACTCCCAACCACACTTCTTATCCCCTCAGCTTATGGATAAAGAAACTTCGATTTAGGCCAGGTGCTATGGCACACACTTGTAATCCCAGCGGCTGGGGAAGCTGAGGCAGGAGGATCATGAGTTCAAAGCCAGCCTCAGCAACAGAGCAAGGCCCTGGGCAACTTAGTGAGATCCTGGATTCTAAATAAAATATAAAAAGGGGACTGGGGAGGTGACTCAAAGGTTCAGTATCCAGTAAAAAAGAAGGAGGGGGAAGGAGAGAGGGAGGAAAGGGGGGGTTGAGGGGGAGGGGGAGGGTTGGGGAAGCAGGAAGAGGAGGAGGGGAAAGAGGAGGAAGAGGAGGAAAAAAGAAAAAGAAAAAAGAACTGCTATTTAGAGACAGGGAACTGCTCTAGTTCTCACAGTGAGTGACACCCAGAGCCCATTCATTTGCAAGGTCTCTGACTCCCGTCCGCCGCCAGGTTTCTATGCTGCACCACAGCGCCACCCCGCGGTAGCTCTCTCTAACTTATTTTTTTATAGGCTTTTTTTTTTTTCCCTCCATAGGCTTTTCATGATCCAGGTTCATCTGAGAGAGTGAGGTAGAGTGGCTTCTCCCTCCAAAGGATACCAGGGAAAATGTGGGATCCGTTAGGGAAAAAGTGTATGGGAAACTGAGGGATAAAGGCTTGTGGTATAATGTTAACTTGTGGAAAAATAAATAATAACATACAACTATTTTAAAACTATTCACAGCATGACATTAGTATTTAATGTAGATGTGACTAGATGAGAAATCCTGCAGTTCTAGAAACAGATATTTCTGAATTCCGGGATTGGAGGTGATTTCTATTTTCTTCTTTAAGTCTGTCTCTAAGTTAGTCTGTCTCTAACTGAGTTGCTTAGGGTCTCACTAAGTTACTGAGATTGGCTTTGAGCTCTTAATCTTCCTGCCTCAGCATCCCAAGAATTCTGGGCTTACAGGTGTGTACCACTGCACCCGGCAACCCTCATTTTTTTTAAATTTTAAAAATGTACGACCGGGCTGGGGATGTGGCTCAAGAGGTATCGAGCTTGCCTGGCATGCGTGGGGCGCTGGGTTCGATCCTCAGCACCACATAAAAATAAAATGAAGATGTTGTGTCCACCGAAAACTAAAAAATAAATATTAAAAAAAATTCCCTCCCTCTCTCTCTCTCTCTCTCTCTCTCAAAAAAAAATGACTATTTTATCATGAGAACACACAGAAAAATTTATCTTTGGCTTGGCTTTTCTGCTCTCTCATTTAAAAAAATAAAAGAAAGAGAGAAAGAAAACAATGATTGCTGGGCACAGTGGCACATGCCTGTAACCCCAGGTACTCAGGAGGCTGAGGCAGGAGGATGCAAGTTTATGGTCTAGCAACTTAGCAAGACTATATCTCAAAAACAAAACAAAACAAAAGTTTGGGGTATAGCTCAGTGGCCCCTGGGTTCAATTCCCAGTACCTACCCCGAACATACTCAGACACACACAAAATCAAGGCTGTAGCTCAGTAGCAGAGCAAATGCTTAGAGTGAGAGAAGCCCTGGGTTCAGTCCCCAGCACCAAAAAAATTAAGCAAATAGACCCCCCAAACCCAGTAGATGCCTTTTAATTCTCAAGCCCTTATCTTCTTTAATCACTTTCAATTTCTCAAAGAAGCTCCCTTAATCACACATCCTGAGGGTAAAYTGACCCCCACAAAGCCTGAGAAACCCCCTGCTTCCTGGGCCCCAGGTGACAGGTGATTCATCTTTGGCTCAAAGCCTCTGGGACTGACTTGAACACCTGATTCCCAACTGCCCGCCTCTGCTCTTCCACACAGCAAGGACAGTGAAGCTCAGAGCCAAGTTCATCAAGGTCTCATCTAAGCATAACCTTCTTTCTGTTATTTTCCCCCAATCCTTTTATTTATGAAAGAAAGAAAGAAAACCTCAGCCTTGCTGTGCTGCAGAGAGGAGGGCAAGTTCCTACTCACTGGAATCACATGRTTGACGGCACCTTTGAATTGTAAGATAGTTATCAAACACCTGTGAAGGTGGGGGTGGGGGGTAGAGAATCAGACAAACAGCACCTGCCCTCCAGAGACACCTGTTGACTTTGGAATGCGGCACAAAAGCACGGAGACCCAGTGGCTACGGCTTATGCACCACGTTAAGCTCTTTACAAATAATCTGTCAAGCTTCCCTTTAACCAGCAAGTAAATATTTTCACCCTTGTTTTATGAATGAACAACAAAAGGCTCGGAAGTTAAGTAACTTGTTCAAGGAGACACCGTGATTCAAGGCCAGGTCTGGGGGATATGGAAGCTCTACTACCAGCACCAAGCAGTAAGCGGCCCAAGCCATTTATGATGAACCATTGGGTGTCCTAGCCAGAATGTGCAGTAGGAGATTTAGAGGCCACCACCCCACAAACAGGAATGGCCTGGAGAGACTTCACTCTTGACGGTAACCCCTGAGCCCCCAGAAAGCTCATTGTCCCTGGCCCTTAACTTATTTTCACAGATTATGCCGGAGGCTTCCCACTCCAATGCTAGGCAGCCGTGTCAGTGGTCCTAACTCTGGTCCTCAAACCAGCAGCTCCGTGTCTCCTATTACCTGTTAAAAATGCAAATGTAGGGCCTGKCTGCAGACCCAGTGATTCTGTGGAGCCCAGCAACCTAGGTCCCAAGCCCTCCAGGGGCTTAAACTGCATCCCAAGGTTTGAGAGCCACTGGAAACCATTCCACTCCCTCCTTTGAGCTTTGCTCGTGTTAAGAGCAGAGTCAAGGCCACGRTGTTAACCAAGTCTGTGCCATCTCATCACTAGCAAACAGTGGAGGGAAAGATAAATCAGAAAGCTCCTGCTGTCCCCACTGTGCCCAGCCGGGCTCCTGCGCAAGTGCACCTTCTCCACCCCTGCAGGCTTACCTCTTCCAACTTAGTCTGTTTGCAGGGAAAAGAAAAAGTAAAGCCAAGGGGCAGTTTCTTATGCTGCAAGTCTTTGGTCTTCATGAAATCTGCCAGGCAGTCAGCCACGTAGTCAAACAGCTGCAGAAAGAAAACGCACAGGACATGGGCCCAAGGCACAGCTTCTCACCCCTGGTGACAAGGACTTCCCCGCCTGCCCCGTACCTCTGAGCCATTTCCCCGGATGATTTCATTGGGCATTGGGTAGAACTGACTCTCCATCTGGACATTTCGTTTCCCTTCCTCAGAGACTTGCACCTTCAAGACTCGAAACTTGGATCCTCCAAGATCCAGGGAAAGGAATTCCCCATTTTCTATTAAGAAACAAAAGACAGGCACCGTTCACTGAGGTCTGCGCTGTGGTGAGCTCAGTGTTGGAAGGTGGACATGGAAATGCCATTAGTGCTCACGACCACCCCCTGGGCGAGTGTCAGCATGCTCACTTGGGGGGGCTTGAGGAGTGTGGCATGTGTCTGAGCCACTGCAGCAGGGGACAGAAGTGAGGTGTGAGCCCAGGTATGTCCGACTCTGCAGCCTGAGTTCACCCCACTCAGCCAAGCTGCAGGAAATGAGAATGTTCATTTGGGGAAGACACATGTGAACCCTTGATTTTTGGTGCCAGGGATTGAACCCTGGGGTGCTCAACCACTGAGCCACATCCCCAGCCCTTTCTATTTTTTATTTTGAGACAGGGTCTTGCTATGATGCTGAGGGCCTCACTAAGTTGCTGAGGCTGGCCTCGAACTTGCAATCCTCTTGCCTCAGCCTCCCAAGTCACTGGGATTATAGGCATGTGCCACCACACCCARCTGGATGCTTAAGTTTCAGGCCAGAGCCATTCCAAAAGGAGAAAATGGAACGCTACACAGCCTGGTCCAAGAAAGACGCCCATTACCAAAACGGTAGAAATGACGCACATGCTGGTGTGGCTGCCCTGGCCACATCGACTCAGGATCCCTGCCAGTGCCTTTGGCATCAGCCAGAGATGGAATGCAAACTCAGGCATGTACTCGTTTGACAACAAGCCTTTGTACATATTATTCATGCCTGAAGGGTAGGTTCCAGTACCAGGYGTGCTTCAGGATACATGCCCACAGCACAGGTCAGTGAAACTTCCAACTCACAAACCCAGCACCYACAGGCCTGTGTCCTGCTACATGACGGCTGTCACACCTGCCTGGATCTCAGGAGCCAGCTGGCCAGAGTCACTCCTTGTAAAGCATGAAATAAAACACAGAGGAAGTCGCTAGTAGATGGTAGAAACCAAACCGTCAGTACTTCTGACCCTTGAGGTCAGGCAGGAAGCCAACGGGGTCACCTGCAAGTAGCAATCACAGGCAGAAAGCATACAAGGCCCAGTTCCCTCGAGGCCTGAGTACACCACCACTCCTGCCCTTGGATTCCCACATGATCTTGTGTCCCTCGTGTCATGACCTCACACATCGTGTTTTCCGGTGGGTTTCTCCAATCTGGGCAGTCAACGAGCTGGAGGCAGAGCCTCAGCTGGCTCAGAGCTCCTTAGCCCACAGCTAGTGATCCAGTGGGTGGAGATTCTGCACTTCTAAACAAGCGCCGGGGTTGCCAGGGTGGAAAACCCTCATTGATAGACTCAGCCAGTTTCATCTTTTGTTTCTGTGGAAACATCTGGAGATTATCTTCCCAGATCAGCTCTGAAATGAGCCAGGTGAAGCCATGATACCTGGCTGGGGACTCCAGGGAGCAAACCTTATCCATCTCTTATGAGCACGTCTCATGCAGCAGCTRGAGACACTCACCCAGACGTTTCCTTGGTGTGGAAATCAGCAGATCACCATGTACAAACATTTATGGGGCACCTGTCAGTGCCATGTCCCAGGCCTGGTGCTAGGAATGCAAAGATGAAAGGCTGCAGCTGCCTTGGGGAGTTTATCAGCAGTGCAGGTGCAGAAGGAAGCCATTTCCATCAGGAGGACAGGGACTCTAAGGGTGGAAAGTACAGGGAGAGGTGCCCAAATCAGAGCTGGGAGGGGGCAGACACAGCTGAGTGTGGGGACGAGAGCAAGTTAGGTATCCAGGCAGGGGACAGCCATGTTCCAGGGAGAGGAGACCATGAGCAAAGGAATGGGCGCCTGTGGTTCTGAAGCAGAAATGGGCCTGGAAGGTAGTCTGGGGTAAATCAGGAGGATCTAGAAAAGTCACCCTACCCCAGAGAGTTAGGGCTTTATCCAGAAGGTGAGCAGGAGCCACAGAAAGTTTTGTTGTTGTTGTTTGCTTGGTTTTTTGTTGTTGTTGTTGTTTTGGTACAGAGGATTRAACCCAGGGGCACTTAAACTCTGAGCCCCATCCCCAGCCCTTTTTATATTTTATTTAGAGACAGGGTCTCACTGAGTTGCTGAGGGCCTCRCTGCATTGCTGAGGACTGGCTTTGAACTCATGATCCTCCTGCCTTGGCCTCCTGAGCCGCTGGGACTACAGGTGTGCACCATGGCACCTGGCTCACAGATTTTGAGCAAGGGAATGCCAAGGTCTGATTGATATTTTGAGGGGAAAAAAGCAAACAAAAAACCTCTGGCACCAATCAGGGCAGCCCGAGGGTTTAGCAAAAGAGGAGGCTATGGAGCTGCACAAATGGCAGCCGGAGTGTGAGACCTGGCTAGTGCGGASATCTTCCTCTCCCTACCCCCCACACCACACAGAGTGCTGTTATCACTGTGCAAACATGTCACTCCTCTGGTGACTCAAGGTGCTGTTTCATGGAAACCACGTGGTGTGATCCCTTCTGTGATGTGACTCTAACCCCACAGGAAGAACTCACTGGAGCCTGAGGGAGGGAGGCCCTGCCCAGGCAGAGGAGGGGGGCCAGGACAGCGGGGGACCTTCAGGGCCTCCCAATTGTGCAGACTTTTTTCCATCATCTGTTGGCTGCTGATGATCCTCAGAGACAGGGGTCCTTTCTCCTAAGCCATGCCAGGGTTCGTGCCTTCCTTCCCTCTGTACTCCCCAGTGCCGTGTCTCCTGAAGGCTCACAGTGACTCGCCTTAGAGATTCTGGACATTCCATCTCCAGAGGGAGAGGCTAGGAAAACCGGGTTTGGGAATCGTTCCAGGTGAATCTGATTCTTATTCTCAGACAACTACAAACCCTCTGGGACCATCAGCCATGCTGGCAGGTAACCTCAGAGCCCCCCGGGCTCATCCCAGGCCTACGTGCAGGCCTAGGAAGCACGTGGAGGCAGAAGCCAGCTGGGGTCCTGCTGAGGCCCTCTAACCACCTTCACCCCACCCCAGGCTGGGGGCTTCTGGGGCCCCTCCTTCCACACCTGCTAGAGGCRGAGGATGATAAAACACTGTGAAGACTCTTGGTCCTAAGAATGGTCCCTGGCAGATATTTAAAAGGCTAGGAGGTGAGTCGGCCTCAGGAGACAGTTGACACCCTCAGGAGAGGGGAAGCTATGGAGGCGAGCAGATGCAGAAGGAGCTCGAGGGACATTGCATACATTTCTGAATGGGTTATTTGATTTTGTCAGTAATCACGAAATGACACCATCAGCTCACAAGAGTCACAGAAGACTGGGGACAACATCTGGGAGATTTTAAAGCACTTCATTCACAAAACCACACTRGATCCTAATGTCAGCTTAGAAAACAAGACCCCCAAATGCGCCACTCTGGAGCACCTGGAGAGCAGCAAATTCAGGAAGGGCCTTCCCTGGAGTCCCCTCCTCTGCCTAGGGACCCCATCTGCCGAGAAGGAACACGTCTGCCTTCAGTCCTCTACCGAGATGTCATTAACCAAGGAAGGTTACCTCTTATCACCAAGGAGACCGAAAGCCAAACACCCTACCTAGAGCCTGGAAGAACTTTGTCCCAGGCCATTGTCTGCTCTCTGGGCTCTTTGGCCCTAAAAAATCATTTACTACCCTCTGAAATTGCCTTATCCCCCACTTCCCTCTCCCTTATGAAGASGGTATTTAAGCCACAACAGCCACCCCCGCTCTTCTTCAAGTTTCCCATTATGTGTGGCTCCTGTGTGTCCGTGAACATTAATAAATTTGCACATAGTTCTCCTGTGGATCTTTCTATTGTCATTTCATTGCACAAAATGAAAAGATTCAAGCCTTCAGAGAGGAAGGGAGAAACTCCTGTGGCCCCCCCATTGACAGTCCCACTGTTGGACTGGCATGCTGGCCATCCCCTTGCACGGAGGAGGACAGGAACGCAGTGGTCGGTTTGCAAGGGCTCATGAGATACTTGGGCCCAGGGACCTCTCTGCCACAGAACCACTGGGCGCCATGTGGTAGGTGAGAGGTTCTAAGTGAACAGTGAAAAACCCAGGGAAGGTGGAGTTTCTGGAACATGATCAACCTCACTTCCAAACCATCTGCAGCAGCCAGCCCCAGATCTCCAGATCATCCAAGGCCACTCTCTTTGCTTSTTGGGGCCACACCTTCTTGGTATCTGGAGGTGGGGCCACAGCTCAGGAAGCAGKGAGGACTTCGCCCTCGTGCTCCTCGCGGACCCCACGCACACCCTGTGACTCAGAGGCTTCTGCAGAATGGCYCGGAAGGACCCATCAAGGACCACAGGCCCCTTCGCACTCTCATCGAGTCCTGCCAGAGGTGGGGCTGAGATTTCAAAGTACGGGTGTCTCCCTCCAAAGCTCCTGTTCCTCAAGGGGGGTGTTCTGCCCATCACGATCACACATCTGCCAGCGAGGAGGCCGGGCCTCTCAACCCACAGAGCCAAGCTACTTTGACCCCAGCCTTGCCCCAGAGTGACCCAGAATTCAACTCATCAAATCAAAGGCCCCCCGAGAACTCCCCAAGCTCAGCCCCTGCTCCTTCTGGGGCCCTGAGGCTCTGAGCACTGGGGCCTTGAAAATGGGGGGGGTCTGGCTCCTCAGTGCTCCCATCTGACCTGCGGCTTCTCCACAGGGTTCTAGGCGGAGCTCGGGCAGTGAGGTCCTAGTGTTTCGTGACCGCAGGAGATGCTCAGCAATTACCAGTCAGGWAGGAACTCCCAGATCCCATCTAGAGAGCCCTAGGCTGTGGTAGTCAAATAATGCCCCCATCCCCTCATGTCCCAATCCCTGATTATGTTAGAGCAAATGGCAAAGGGGAACTAAATAGAATCAAAATTGATCATCGATGGACCTTGAGCCTGAGAGATGGTCTTGGATAATCTGAATGGGCCTAATGTAATCAGAGGGTCTCTAAATGTGGAAGAGGGAGGCAGAGGGTCAGAGATAGGGAAAGATTTGATTTCTTTTCCCCCTTTGGTACAGGGGATTGAACTCAGGGCACTCGACTACCGAACCACATCCCCAGTCCTATTTTATATTTTATCTAGAGACAGGGTCTCACCAAGTTGCTTAGCGCCTCACTTTTTGCTGAGGCTGGCTTTGAACTCRAACTCCTCCTGCCTCCGCCTCCCAGTTGCTGGAATTACAGGCATGTGCCACCGTACCCAGCTTGATTTTGTTTTTTGTACCAAGGCACAATCCAGTCCTTTTTTATTTTTATTTAGAGACAGGATCTTGCTAAATTGCTGAGGTCCTTGCTGAGTTTCTGAGGCTGGCTTTGAACTCACTATCCTCCTGTCTCAGCCTCTCAAGTTGCTGGAATTACAGGCAGGAGCCACCACACCCAGCTTCCAGAGAAAGATTTGATGACGCGACACTGCTGGCTTTGAAGACAGAAGGGAGTATAAGGCAAGGATTGCGGTGGCTCCAAGAAGCTGGAAAAGGCAGGGAGATGTGCTCCCTGGAGCCTCCAGAGGGAAGGCAGCCCTGCCAACCCTTTGATTTTAGCCCAACGAGAACCATTTCAGAGTTYTGAYCGCCAGACTRTAAGAGCGTACATTTGTGTCGTGTRAATCCACTAAATTTTACWAGACCTCYAGGGARAGACCTGGGAAACCACATGTTTAGGAATTGCCMGGGGTGAATCTAAATCTTATGCCCAGGCAAATATGGAGCCTAGTCCTAATGCAGACCCCTGGGCCAGCCAGCCTGCTCCCACTCACCCCTACAAAGGCAAGTTCAAAGCCAGCCTCAGCAACAGCAAGGCCCTAAGCAACTAAGTGAGATCAAAATAAAACACAACAATAGAAACCAATACCTAGGCCAATGCTCTCATTCTACAGATGGAGAAACCAAGGCTCATCACTTGCCCAAAGTCACCAAGGAGGGACAGAGCTGGGCCTACAATCCAATTTTCTTTAATTGTCATTTAATTCTCTTTCCATTGCAACATGCTTCCTTTCATTATTTCTCTAGCCTAGAATCTAGGCACCTAGGAATGAATGCCATTTATTGTTCTTTCAACTCCTGTGTCAGGCCCACAGTGCATTAGATGCTCCGAACACTGCGGTGAATAAGTGCCAGGCCTCATGGAGCCATTAGTCCAGGGGAGACGCTCATCCACCATGGTGACCAGGATTCTGATAAGCACCTGACCCAGTACAAGGATGCTTCCCATCTGAGGCAGWGAGTGATCTTTCTAGACTACTCTTGGAGAGCTAAGGTGGTGCTCACCAGGACGAGAATGGTGGGATGCTGCAGCAGTACAGGAGACAGGTCGGGTGCAGTGGTGCACACCTGCAATCTCAGCGACTCAGGAGGCTGAGACAGGAGGACTGCAAGTTCAAAGCCAGTCTCAGCAACAGCGAGGCCCTAAGCAACTTGGTGAGATGAGACCCTACCTCAAAATAAAATATAAAAAGGGTTGGGGATGTGGCTCARCGGTTAAGCACCCCTGGKTTCAATCCATGGTACCAAAAAGAGAAAGAGACAGAGGACAGAATGTGTGAGGCCAACATGGGCAGCGAGAATGCAGGGTGTCTTGATTGTGGAACCCAAAGGCGGTCAGCAGCACTGAAGCCAAGAGGGTCAGGGAGAAGGGTTGTGGGGAGAGAAGATGGATATAAAAGCAAACATCAGGGACTCATCAGTCAGGAGGAGCCAGGGACCAGGTCCGGGAGCCCCAGCCCCACTCACCTGAGCCRTCTGGAATGGCCCTGACAAAGGTGGGCAGCATCTTCACCGAGGCCGTGGGGTTGGTGTCCTTCCCCAGGCCCTTCTCCATCTCAACCTGGAACCGGGCCATGATGTCCAGAAGGGTCTCATCAGAGAGCCGCATATGATACAGGAATCGGTCCACCTGGAACAGATGTTGGGGCGACAGGGTTGGCAGGTGGCGGTGCTTGCCCTCCAGCCAAGGCTGTAAACTCCCACTCCCACCCTGAGGCTGCGTCCCACCTGAGGGACAGCTTTGTGATGGGCTCTCCCACGGTCTCCTTAGCTGGCCCCTCCACTAGCCAGGGACCAAGTGGGGAGCTGGGGGAGCAGATGAAACGGAAGACTGAGAGGTGCCCGCTTATTCCTCTAAAGGGCAAGCTCTGGGGAAGAATCGACTTCCTGCTATTCTGACCGGACAGTAGCCAGGGGGTGGGGACCTCCTGGAGCATGCAGGGCTTCCAGTTCCCACTTCAAGGCCTCCCCTGTGGTACCATTTCCTCTCCACCGGCAAGGACAGTCGATAGCCTGAATCTTCAATTCCTAAACAGGGCAACTTCCTTTGATCCGATTATGATTACAGACATATCCAGAAACATTTCCCTTTGTTTATTGGCTGTTAGGAAGCTCAGAACTAAATTCAGTTTCCAACCGCAATCTTTAAAACCTAGTCCTTATGGGTGCAGTGGCACATGCCTATAATCCCAGCGACTGGGGAGACTGAAGCAGGAGGATTGCACGTTTGAGGCCAGCCTCAGCAATGTAGCAAAACCCTTTCTCAAAATAAAAAATTATAAAGGGCTGGGGATGTGATTCAGCACCCCTGGGTTCAATCCCCTGTATCAAAAAGTCAATAAATAAATAAATTAAATAGTAAGGGCTGGGGATATGGCTCAGTTGTTGAGTACCCCTGGGTTCAATCCTTGGCACCAAAAAAAAAAAGAATTTCCTTTAAAAATAAACTAGTCCTTAATAAATTAATAAATAAATAAATAAATAAATAAATCTAGTCCTACATATTTCCATTTTGATTTAACTGGCTGTCCTAATTAAAATGAAGTTTAAAAACTCACCTCAAATTGCTATTGGAAATGAGCGGATGTCATTCAAGTAACCAAGAAATTGAGGCAAAGGAACCCTACCCCCAAGGAAGGAAGCGATAAAAAGCACGGGTGTGTTCAGTCCACTTGGTGTTAAGGTCCACATCAGGAAGGGCAGAAAAGCTTCCCTAGCCTCTGGGATTATAGGCATGTGCCAGCGCACCCAGCTGTCATAGAGATTTGATGAGGTGACGTACACAAAAGTACTCTGTGTACTTAGAGAAAAGTACGTGTCCTTAGAGAAAAGTTTGCTCCTGGGCTGGGGATGTGGCTCAGAGGTTAAGCGCCCCTGGGTTCAATTCCCATTACCAAAAAATAAAAAATGAAAACCCTATGATACCCCTTTGAGGCAGCCAGATGAGGCCACAGTTATTGTCCCTAACTGAGAGATGAGGAAACAAGGCTTGGAGCCATGGAGGACCAYTCATAGAGCTGTAGATTAGGGACAGCACCGGGACCACTCCGCAGCCGGGTTTTGGCTCACAGCTCCATGGGGGATCCATGTGCCCAACAGACAAATGACACCAGAAGCACAGGGCTCCCCTCTTTATCCTAGGAGGGTGCCCAGCCGTCAGCCAGGCCTCAGAGGGACAGAATGACCCAATCCAGTGAAAGGGCCCCATGGCTCTGGGGACTTGGGGACCAGAGAGAGGCCAGAAAACCATTAGAGGTTGTTAACAATAAAGGAGCACTGAGCTTTCCGMGGGTCTGAGAAGAAAGACGATAACCAGGTCAGGCTTCATTAGGAGCCTCCTACTCACCCGCGTCCATTGAGGATTAATTGGTGGCACAGCCACACACAATCACAGAACACCGCACGGACCGAACGTGACCCACGTAATTGGGGTTGGARAAGAAAGAGTGGGAATGCCCCATGTGGGAACCAAGCTTGGTCCTTTATCAAAGCCCCTCAGACTGTGCCCCCCTCAACCTGCTGATCATTTTTGCTCCGCCTGAGAGTATAGAGTTTCTCAGGCATCCACAGAACGACATCCTCGTCCATAAGACGAGGCCCTTTGGGGGCCATTGTGAACTGCATCCTGCCAGTGTCATTTAGCCCATGGGTGGCGTCTGCTTTCAATAAGTCAAAGTTATGGTGGAAAGAATGTCAACCCAGCAGTTTCTTATCTATTCTTTATGTCCCTGGCCCAGTAGCTAAACAGGAAGAATGAAATGTATGTTAGGACAGGAAGAAAAAAAAAAAAAAAGCTATCTTTTTAACCCATGCAGGTGATCTGGGGCATGTGTAACCAGGGACACGTGTCCCAGGCACCAAAGGAGGGAGCTGGGGTTGCAGAGCAGCAAGCCCACTTTTGGAGGGGCTCACAAACTGTAATAGGAAATGTCACCTAAACAGGAGAGCCAGCAACCATCGCGTTTATCTTGGAAAAAGCAAATTCACAAACAGCAAGGGTTGTTAACAATCCTTGAAGCTCAGAACTGGTGAACTGCAAAATGTAGAAGCTGGATGGGGCCTTAGGGATCACTTAGTCCAGAGGTCTCCTGGGACGAAACAAGAGTCATAAAGAGGTTCTGCTCTTTGACCTACGGGTTTCACTTCAGGAATCTATCCTGCTGCTGCTGCTGCTGCTGACAGCCAGTGAGAGAAACTTCCACCAAATTCTATTTATTAAATGAGAAAGTTAGGTGAGAGGTACAGCAAACTTAAAAATATAAAGCAGTCAGATTTAACCTTTTAAATAATGCTAAATATGGAGAAAAATAATCACAGGCCCATCTTTGTCATGGCAATATATTTTTCATTGTAAGGAATCCGACTTTCATTCTGAGTCAAATTAGGAAAAATTTTTGAACAGAGAACTCAAATGATCTCACATATGTAACCATATTTTAGTTACTAAAGAAGAATATTTTTGAGGATCCAAATGTCATTGATAAGGCAAAGTTTAAATAAGATGCGACATACCTACTTAATAAATATTAGGAAGACATTAAATTAATAATTATTCAGATAGTGGAGGAGTGGATATAAGYATTTACAACAAAATAATAAGTGCTAAAATCAAGATGCAGAACTGAGCCAGGCACAGTGGCGCATGCCTGTAATCCCAGAGGCTCGGGAGGCTGAGGCGGGAAGATCTCGAGTTCAAAGCCAGTCTCAGCAATTTAGTGAGACCCTAAGCAACTCRGTCAGACCCTGTCTCTAAACAAAATATAAATAATAAATAAAATATAAATAAGGGCTGGGGATGTGACTCAGTGATTGCCCCTGGGTTCAATCCCCAGTACCAAAAAGAAAAAAGAAAGATGCAGAACTGTACATACAGCACATTATCAATATAATCATGGAGAAAAAATGGCCACAAGGGTACCCACATAGCAAACATGACCGTGTTTGTTATTAAAGATAAATTAAAGGTGAGATTAAAGGTAACATTTCACTAGGCACCATGGCACACACCTGTAATCCCAGTGGCTTGGGAGGCTGAGGCAGGAGAATTTTGAGTTCAAAGCCAGCCTCAGCAAYTTAGCAAGKCYCTAAKCAACTCAGTGAGACCCTGTTTCTAAATAAAATATAAAAAAGGGCTGGGGATGTGGCTCAGTGGTTAAACCCCTCCAGGTTCAATCCCCCTGGTACCAAATAAATAAATAAAATAAAAAATAAAGGCAACATTTCCACATTTTCATAATGTTCACTTACTAAACCATAAAAAAGACTCACTGAAAACCTGACCAGTCCTGTTCTTATGGAAGAGCAGTCGGCAGGTCAGTGACCAGGCCCGGCCAGTGCTATCGACAGGTCAATAATGTCAACATACTGAATTGGAAAAGAAGCTGTCAGAGGGTTCCTCTTTTCCATTCTTCTTATTTGTTTTGTTTTACTTTTGTCTTTAATGTTGGAATGAGGAGATTTAAAACAAACAAACAAAAAAACCCGTTCCAGGGTCTGAACAGTAACCCTTGCCGGCATGTGTGAGCTCAGACGTTCTAGAGGCACAAGCTAAGACAGGACTGGCTACAGGACCACTGGGTGCCTTTTGACCAGATGTGTTTCTGAGAACATTCACATGGAGGAATGTTCTCAGAATCTATGACTCAGCCCAAGAGCCACAAAGCAGGCTCCCCCAGAAACGCTTAGGTTCCCAGGTTAACTGCAAAATGCTCCACTTTCTTGCCTCCCACAGGGAGGGGGCAGGTGGACTCCAGGTATTTACAAAGACTGATCCTTCTTGCAAAAAGACCCGGGAGCCTGCGTTTCCACAGAGGCCATCCGATCCTGTACCTGGGCTGGTGGACAAACATGTCTCGCCTTAACCTAAGGTGGAACAAAAGGTCAGCCACCACAGAGGGCCCAAGGAAATGAAAGAACTTTGCAGAACCAAAGATCTCAGGGTTCCAAGACTCCCTCTTGGGAGTGGGWGTTGCATCTTTCCCAAGCAAAGGTAATAACAGGAAGGGAATCCCAAGCAGGGCTGCGGAGGATTCGTTCACCTCCTCCAGTCTCCAGTAGGGGGCTCTGTGAGTCTAACCAACAAATACAAATTAAAAGGTTAAACTCACTGCTTTATATTTCTAAGTTTGCTGTACCTCTCACCTAACTTCCTCATGAATAGAATTTAGTGGAAGTTTATCTCACCAAACACACTAAGGCTGTGAGGGCTTCATCCTCTTATTTGGAAAAGCAGGAAGACATCATAGTAAATAGAGAGATAGCTGGGATTGGCAATCTCAGATGTAGGTTTAGTTAGATTTCACCTTAAATACCTGGGTGACCTTGGCTGAGTCCATCTGTTATCTATAAATTGAGTCATGCCACTCGGTGGCCCTGCTGCTGCTGACAGCCAGTTGGCCCACTGCAGCCCGAAAGGCAGGCTTGTTTCAGCTGCCTGGAGAGGATCTGATTACCCGCAGTTGACCTTGGCAACCTTTAACTARCCAAATTTGGAATGAATTTTGCAATCTAGTTCCTGGGGCAAAGTGACCAAATAATGCACACCTTTAATAGTGCACTGTTGGCAAATAGCATGTGCTAATGATAAACATTTCAATTAGCACACATTAAAACTACGAAGCACAGTGGTATGCACCTGTAGTCTCAGCTATTTGGGAGACTGAGACAGGAGAATGGCTTGAGGCCAGAAATTCAAGGCTAGCATGAACTATATATGGAGCCCTCAAAAAAAAAAATATATATATATATATATACACACAAACATATATATGTAAACTATATACATTATAATATAAGCAAATTATATAGCCAGACACAGTGGCAAACACTATAATCCCAGCTACGTAGGGGGCTGAGGCAGGAGGATCATAAGTTTGAGGCCAGCCAGGACAACCTATCGAGATGCTGTCTCAATAAAACAAAAGGGACTGGGGATATAGCTCAGTGGTAGAGAGCAAGGCCCCAGGTTCCATCCCCAGCTACTGCAAACAAATAAGTTTTACATTCCTCTTGAGGGTCTTATATTTTATATACATAATCAGATCTTCTTCAGAAGTTCTTAAAACTTCTTTACAAATGACTCTTCCATGTGGCCTTTCCCCCAAAGCATCCCTGAATCAAGCCTCCTCCTACATTCCTGAGACAAACCCCTTCAAGCATTCCCTACACTTTCTCCTCAGCTCCTTGCTTTGTGATATCTGCCAGAAAGTTCCACTGAAATTCAGGGTTCAGGACAGTAAGGCACTGCCCAGGGGTGTGCAGACGTACCTCTCCTGCCCCCTCTGAGTTTTTACTTGTCAGAGGCTCGCAGAGCTGTTCTTCATAAGCTCTCTGAAACTAGGAATGGAACCCAGGGTCTCCCCCGGGCTAGGCAAGCAGCACTGCTCCTGAGCGACACCCCCAGCTCCTGAGTCCTTTTCTGATGCAGGAGGAGATCTGCAGAAGGCCCCCACATCTCTTGGCTTTGTGAGTCCTTACCTTCTTGATCTGATCCTCTTTCAGCTTGGTGAAGTAAAATGCCAGCAAATGCACCGCAAACATGTTTCCCCAAGTTTGGTTTCTCCTGATTTAGGCGAAGACTAAAGACCAAAGAATAGGGCAGTGTTTTTCCCACGACTTCAGGGCGCTGCACACCTCTTGTCCAGGCCTTGAGCTGGGTGCTGCCGCCTAAATACTTCCAGTCCGCCTGGTTCAATGATTAAACTTCGCCCCCTGTCTCGGTCCCTCCCTCTGCCACACACTTCATTGTCTAACAGAGGCTCTGGTGGTAGCTGAGGGCCAGTAGAGGGGGAGGCCGGGAACGGATGGGTTGCTTGACTATTTGAGTAGCGAGTGCCACAAAATCTCGTTGCTGAGCAACGCTCTCAGGCCAGGGCTCCACCAAGCCCACTCAGCCGAGGAAAATCTTTTAAGAAGTTGGGCACTAAACAAAGCCAACTTCCAGTGGAGCTGCCTGCAAATGTCCAGCCCCGGGTTTTCCTCTTTAATCCCTTTCTCCTCTACCTGGTATCAAAACTCCATGACTCATTGGTCCCCCTCCTTGGTCCCCTGAAGGACTGTCTTAATTGGTCAGGGAGTTACCAAAAATGTTGAAGCAAATTCCTCCATTTGTGAAAGATCCAGTCTCTTAGCTAACAGCCCACGGTTAATGGAAAACGATCGATAAAGGTTTATCTATTCCTGATGTAAAGGCAGACACCCTTTGTTTCCCAGGTAGTGACCCAGGAAAAAAATATGCTTGAGAATGAAGTCGCCATGACTCTTTGGGAAGCTGCTGCCAGAGGAAAATTGAAATCACAGATGGGAAAAGTTTTCTTTCCCCAGAGATATTTATTTGATCAGCTTATCTCACTCATCATACTTGATGTGAGAAGGACCAAGAAAGGCACCAAGATGAAGGAATGATAAACTCCACACTAYGGCTGTGGTCATTGGCTGGCTAGTAAAATCATTCACAGGGTTAAACAGCAGCTAATACGAATGGAACACTCTGTRGCCCCATTTTATAGATGAGAAAAACTGAGGCTCAGAGAGGTTAAATGACTTATTCAAAATCACAAAGCTTGTAAATGCTTCAGCCAGTGATCTAGCCCAGGAGTTGGACTCCAGGCTCCAGCTTTTAACTGATCTGTCCTTCTGGTTCTCAAATTCCACTTTCTTCATGGGATACTCAGTTGATAGYTATTAGCAGCATTCTGTGGGCTGGGTTTGTGGCTCAGTGATAGAGTGCTTGCCTAGCATGTGTGAGGCATTGGGTTCAAGTCTCAGCACTGAGTGTAAATAAATAAAATAAAGATCCATTGACAATTAAAAAATATTTAAAAAAAAAAAAAAAGAATTTCAACTACTTGGAAAACGAAGTACAAAGATGTCACTCCAACCCAGTCTTCCTTGAGGGGAAAAAAAGCAGATAAAGATATTCTTGGCGCTAATGTCCCCAAATATTAATCAAATGCTTTGTAAAACCAGCCAGTGACCACATGTTAACACAGGGCGCTCCAGTGTTTCTTGCTCCTACGTGGCGCCTGCTCTTCAGTGACAAGGGGCCTCTGATTAAAGCGTGCTGCCCTGGTCAGCTCACCAGCCTGGGCTCCATCTGCTTTTCTCCTGTACAATCTTATTAACCAAAACAATGACTGACGATGGCCTGGTCAGGGGACCTCCAACAGCTGCCTCTCAGGAAGCCACTGATCTCTACCTGACCATCATGCAGATGAGCCAGGGGGGAGTCTGCCTGGGCCTGCAGAGCAGGGGCTGCTTGGTTAAAACAMTCCGGATGCTTTTCTCAGCCAAATTGACCCAAGAGTCTCCCAGACTGATAACCTCCGTCCTTTCAGTGTGTTTACTCCTCAAACTATGACTTTTAAGTCCTCTATTTTAATTATACAAGCAAACAAAGGTTAATTTTCAGTTCCCAAAGCCAATCAGTTCCCCAAACTCAGTAGAATTTGTGTCTGAAATACACATGCTAATGCCCTCCGGACCTCCAAGGATAACACCTGGGGCAGGTCAAGTGACCTCGAATGACAACATTACCTATCTTTTTCCCCCATTTAAAAAGTAACCTCGGCAGTGCGTATGGCACCTGCTATTGCTGATTTATTCACCACAAAGATAAGAGGTTACAATGTCCAGTGGGCAAAAGGAAACAGAACCATCACCAAAGGTCTTGGAAGTCTCCCAGTCGCCTGTGTGAGTCAGACAGGCAGACTTTGGATTTTCATCAGGCACTAGAGGATTTTTACTTGTTACATCATTTCATTTTTAATCTAAGCACATGAGCACCTATGTTCTAGGTCTGGGCTGGTGACTAAACCAAGAAGTTTCATGATTATTAAAGATCATGTGCATTT